AGCGAGAATCGTAGCTGTTCAACGGATTTTTTGACGATGTTACCACCATAGGTGATGATTTATTAGGAAGACGTCGTAGTCATAATGGTGTGAACGACATCTGATTGCCCTCTAAAACATTGTTTTTTTGTCGACGGCAGATTCTTTGGAGCAGCGATAGGTGTCGTCGTGATTTACGATTGCGGCACGGAACGAGCGTTTTTTCCGCGAACGATTCTCTTATTATGGTCATTGTTATTGTTTTTGTTATGGGAAAACTGAAATGACCTTTAGATGCAGATCTCGGCTATAAAGTCATGGCTCCATAGCTACAAATTCTGCACTGCTTTGTCTTTCGCACTTCATCGTAAGCGAGCTCTCTGGATCGCGCAAGTAATCTTTTCTGCCGCTGCCTCCCAATATAAGTCTGATCACAACGCACGTTTTTGGTTTTTAAAAGTTTAATTAGAGATAATTGTGAGAGTAAAACTTCCCTTTGCTTTCGCAAAAACAAATATTGCAGTACCTATTATACCAAAACCAAACTAATTTCGCATAACTTGAAACCCCTTTCGTTTCTCAGATCTACTAGTCTTTCAGATTTAAAGTGTCCAGAGCAGAGATACCACTTTGAAGCTTTTCAACACTTTATTCAAACGTATAAAGAATCATGCAGCTTATTGATTACTTCAATGTAAACAATACTAGTTATTAACTTGCCACAGAGATGGACTAATGCTTTGCAGTACTGGAAATGTCTAGCACAGTACTGGTATGAGTAAAAGTCAGCCAATCTCACTCCAGTAATGAGAATTAACCTTATCGTCCGCAATGCTGACTTCCGACCATTTTTTGTTTTAGTTTTGCTTCCCATTGCTCAGATATTCATAATGCATGCAGTTCCTTAGACAAGATTTACATATGTAATATTCCAGCCGGAACATAATCATCTGTTAGAGTTAATTTGCTTTCTTAGTACTGTATTGATCGAATATATTCCAAATCTTGCAATGGATAGTTCTCTGCTATTGCTAAGCGGCTCAAGGAATCTATTATATTATACTTTATCGCGGCGATATGTCATAATTTCATAAAAGAAAAAGGCTAATTAGGATAAAAGCACATATTTTTGTGATTCGCCTGAATTCGGTTACAAGCTAAACATCTAATTGCACTTCAATGACACAAAAAAATTATCCCCAAATCACTGAGCAGATAGTCGCTTTTCCCCATAACTATCTGTGGCTGGGAGAGATTTGCTTCCTAATGTTGCTGTAAATAGGATAGTTCCGGTTTTTTAGAAACAAGGTAGTTCCTACGATCGCTATGGCAATACTTTTTATCAGACAATTGCTTATCAACCCCAGATAAATTGAATATCCGAAAGTGAGTTGTAAATTGAATTTTCTGCACTTTAGTCAAATGTGATTTCTGAAGTTTACACAAACTTGGATCGCTCTTACAAATGCAACGTTTTGTTTGAAGTGTTGTTACTTGCTCCTCAAACACGCAAATCTTGGACAAACGTACAAAGTTCGCTTGAAATTTGTGGAAATCTCAGAAAACCTTCGAACACTAATATAATCGGTTGAATTTTCAACTTCAGGCATTCACTAGGAAGGTATCCAATTGGCTGTTTCATCAGAACAGTCATACACAAAATCTTTACCGGATTTGCCTAGATTTGCATTCCGTGAAAACACTGTCCTGGTATGTTCTTTACTAGAAAACTCGCCAAATTCTCCGTCCATTCTTCTACCGTAGAAAACTATGGGATGTCAATCCGAGTCAAGATAAATAACGATGCGTCAGATCAAAAACGTAGATTCTAGCGGCGCGAATGATTTGAGGCGACACTACTGCTCGAACATTTCTTCTTACCAAATGCAACGTTCGGAACTTAAATGGATGAAAGCGGTGGGGTCAAAGGAAGCATCAGCTGGCAGCTGATGCGTATCTGAGCAGCGATAATGGGCGGCTTGCTCATAACACTAGACACTGTTATGTGAACGCAGCACACTCGGGAAGTGGGGAAGTCCCATGGGGAATGTGGAAAAAATTTGTCACAAAGTCCTTCCCTAATTTTCGATGTTAATCTAGTGTTTTTGCGTGGAATACTTGTAATTTGTCATAAGGCAAGAAACTTGAGAATGTACATTCAGTAACCAATTATACGCGCAGATGGTGTCTCCACCGCAGGGGCATTACATCAAATGTGAAATTTGCTAGATTATAACCCTGCGCTATCTCTCAGGTTAGTGATGCTTCTTTTGCGATTAACGCCCTTCCATTCTTCACCGTAGTCGTGTCCATAAAGACATTTGTCACGACGAACAAGCTCGTGGCACTTTTATGACCCGCTCATTGTTCGCAGCACGTCAAAAGGTGCCGCCTTTCGTCGTAAATCCACCTCACTGAGCACCGCGACATTGTACGAGACCACATTGCCGCTCCTACCTGCTCGCGAACAACGCCGAATGAATGACTGATCAGTCAGCAAATCCTGCACTAATCCTCTTTTGGAGATGCGTTAACGAACACCAAATGAAAGTCGCCGTTAACGAAGTAGTTTAGACCAAGATAATTTTTAATATCTAGCAAAGAAATTCTCCCTTCTGTATGACTTTGTTTCCGAGGGGATTTGCTGACATTAGCAGCAGTCTTCTTTGAATTCACTGAAATTTTCGTTGAGAAAAATGCATCCGATGGAATAGAATCTGAGTACTGTCTAACATGATTACTGAGTATCATATATTGTTTGTAATTTTTTAAACATGAAATAAAATTTCTCATTTGTCTTCCCCCACCAGCTGCGGCATTCCATTTCATGGTAGAATAATGCTTGTTCCACGACTAGCGCTAAATGCGATCTGAATGAAAATGTGTGAGAAAAATTCTAGTCGTCTCATTAAATACAAAAACTATGGAGCAGGTTAACAAAGGAGACAAAATTTTTGGAAAGTACTATTAGTATAAGGGCCACTTGGAGTGAGATGAATACTGCAAAGCGTAAAATCTAATTTTACTCCCAAATTTGGCATTGCATTTGCAAAACGCGTCTTCGAAAAAATGTGAGTGCCAAACAAAATGCGAAAATGAAGGATGATGAGAGAAGTCCTACCTACAACTTTCAAAAAAAGCTTCCCGCGGATAGCGATAACAAATTCAAGATCAGCATTGGTCGCTGCGTTGACAGCATACGCTTCAATTTAGACTTCGTCCATACATTACCTGTGTTAGCAGTGTTGTGAGTTACTAGTGTTACTTGTGTTATTCGTTTTACTCATCGATTAGTGATATTGCGTTCTAAAATGAGACTGTATGGTGTTCATTTCACTACTCAACAGCAATGAAACGACAACACTAGTAAGGCTAGTAACACGAGTAACTAACACTGGTAACACGGGTAACACGGGATAATGTATGGTCAAAGCCTTTAAGAGCAACTTTGATGAATGTACTTCTCTTGTTACTGTGGTTCACATTTAACAAGGATGGGTTTGAATGACATGAAGGCGTCGAAGTAGGGCTGTGATTAGAACAATAAATATGTTCAATATTTGTCAAGGAAACGTTTCAATTCAAGCGGCCATTGATAAATTATGCAGTGAGGACCACAAAGTAGTTGTTGTGTACGATACAGGCTCTCAGATCACTGATTTTGGGAAGAATTCCTACTGCTGATAACTACTTTCTTAACGCTCAGATTACTGATTTTGGAAATTTCTTAATGCACTTGTAGTGAGTTACAATAGCAAATTTTGCTCGTTCTCTATCGAAGGCGAGCAGCAGCTATGCGAGCGCTATGTGCGAGCTACCGTATGCAAAGGCGGAGCATGTTCGCGCAGCGGGCCGCCGCTATTACATACCACCCGTGGCGGACAAGCAATCCAGTCGTCGCGCCTCATCGACCCCTCAGCTACTGCTCATTACCGTTCTGTTCACAAGTATTACATCCTCTAGATTTTGAATTGCTTTAATTTTCGTCGGTTTCATCTATTTGTCGAAATTTCGTTTTAATCTGGTCTTCTATGCTCAAATGATGTGGAATTTCAATTTCTACTTCTTGCCATTACTTTTCAAGTTCCATTTCAACTTTTAAATTTCAAAGACCCCAAATGCTGAGCCCCCTGCGATCCTAAGGGATTTTTCAGATCAAAAATCTTCAAATTTTCACACACTCTCAATTCAAACATTTTTGCTGGGTCTTTTCAAGAGCAGTACTGTCTGTCCTAATCCCGATGATAATCTACCTTTCTGTCTGATACGTACTTTCAAAGCTTCTTACAAGAATCTAAACAGTACACACTCGCACCGAATTATGTTTTAAGAAATCGCTCTTGATAGGGACTGAACATTTCACCATGCATTTGTTATTAATTTTGATTGATTCAAAACTAAATTATTTATATCTAATTTCTAATTGAGAAAATGCACGGGAATCCCACAGTTTGGTAAAGTTTTTGGTGCTAATCTTCACAAATTTTTCCTGAGTACCCCGAAACTTTCTTTCAACATTCCGCTGTTCATATTCAACTTCCTAACTTATTTAGGTTCCTTTAATCCAGATTTAGCCTCTTTTTCGACATGTGCATTGCCTAAATTCTTATTCAGAGCATTGTCAGTGACAGCCTTTTCAGTTCCTTCAAACGAAAACTCCATGACCAAGTTAAATTCGAGCGATGACTGTTACGATCCCTGCCAACCATCTTCCTCACAGCAAAAGGTAAGCGTTACGCAATTTCCCCGTGTGATCAGCCAACTGGCAAAAGTGTCTGATCGCCAGCAGCAAGTTTATTCGGCCCAAAACTCGATGTGAAGCCCCGACATCGATTACGCAATGCGAATCTCATTCGTAATTTCTTACAAATAAGCGCAACATCAAGCGAAAAGGAACACATTTGCAGGGCGATGTTTTTCCCTGGACAGCGCTCCCGAAAGAGTTACAAATTCAAGTGCTGGGAAACCTACAGCGAAGAGATCTCAGTGCTTGCAAAACGCTGAGCAAGCACTTTTGCGAGATGATCGAGAACAATGAGAAGTCGATGAGGAGAAGGCACCTGGATTTTGTCAGGATAGAAAGGGTAAGGAGTTCGGTCGAAGAGTTCCAAAAGCCACAATAACTGTGATTTTTGCAGATAGGCCAAGGGCGAGTTCAATTGTCGATGAAATGCGATGAGGAAGGCAAGAAAATGAAGTGGATCGCTTGTCAGAAGAGGAGAAGAAGGGATCCGCTTGAGCTATCGATCCAAATCAAGGTAATCGCCTAAATTTGTGATCATATGCTTGAAGAGAAATTTTGAGTATTGCGAAAATCTTCTCCACGATTCTTGATTAGTTATTAGTCTGCAAATTTTGAGCGCCACCCAGAATACATTCGAGTCCTTTTCCGTAAAAGGGTTGTTTAGTCTCGTATCTGATCAAAAAAGCTGTAAGCGCATCTTACTATCGAGAATTCACATTCACAATTCGCTCTACCAGTTTCATAAATGGCATTTGTAAATGCATAGTTGTAGCACTGAACTGAGGAAGCATTCTTATTGCAAGCTTTCCTGAGATAAGCTGAGATTCTTTTATCTGCCACTTTTTGTTCTCTTGAATCTGTGAGTAAATGTAATTGAATCGATTATTCTTCTCTAAGTAACAAAACTTGTACTTTACCCAATCGCAAATTCATCCGGCAAATTTCACAATACTGATTATGCAAAATTTTAACACCTGCAAATTTTGCCAAATCAATAAAGTGCGCTAGTTTCAGAAAGCCTTTGTTGACTTCTACCGTATCGCTGCAACTGGTGCTCGTGTAGATGTACCCAACTTTATGGAACAGCAAACACAACCCGCGGAACGTGGTTCTTCAACCGAATTGCCTACGATTTTAGTGGATCGCCTAAGAGAAGTTTTCAGAGGGAGCGAAGTGGATCGACTTCGACTAAATGAGGTTGGTACATAACCGGAGCTGTACCCATTTCCATCCTTAATTAGATCATGAAATCTCCTACTGATACTTACCTCGAAACGTAAATTTTTTCTAGTACTTTTTTGCTCTGGATCGCTTTTCACCGACCTTTGCTCCGCAGAAACTCATTCGCAGCATATGTCTTTATCCGAATTAACAACAGGGATAAGTTAGAGTAGCAGTAGCAGTCATTTGTTATCGATAAATATTGGTCGTTCCGAAAGTTCTGTACGATTTGCAGATTTTCTGATTAAAAATTGATAACCATTTTCAAAATCAAATTTTCGCACAAATCAAATTTCGTTGGATTAGAAATGCTTCTGTCTACATAAGTACAGTATGCCATGTAAAGAATGCAAGCGAGAGAGAAGAGAATTTGAAGAATTCTGCAAGGTCTCCTTCAAAACCGAGCCATGCCACCGAGCCTAACTATGTTAGCCCATTAGACCTTGACCCATTATAAAGTAATACATATCCAATTCTACGATAGTGCGGGAATTCTCTTCACAGAAACTTTTTGTTAAGCACGACTACATTTTGGTAATTTGGCTTCGGGGCTTGGACTTTCATCACTGAGAAGTTATTTCGTCAAGCATTAGTGAGCACTAAAAAGAGCAAGAAAATTGCTTTCAGATGTTGTTCATAATTCTGCAACAAGTGCAAAACTCTACGTTTCTAGCTGCAAAAGCGAGGCAACTAAAAATCGGACAGAACTTTTGAAACAACCTAGTATTTTCTAGCAGACTTAATTTTCTGTTTGTTCACCTAATGATTCTGCCGAAGGAGGGGGGGGGGCGTATCGTTACGTGTGGGCTGCCAATTGAAAACGTCGCGCACGACAGGCTGCCAGTGACCGCACTCGGGCATTTCAGCCAGCATGATCCACAGCACATAGTTTTTCAGCTTCTCATCCTTTGTTGAAGTTCACAGACTATTCTCATATTAGTTTATAATTATTTGGAGTTCTGTCACAAAAGTTGTAAAATGAGCTCTTTAAAAGGCAAAAAGACACAAGTTGAAGAAGGTAAAAGACTAACAATATAGAGGAAGCATTGGTAATTTAGTGTTATAAATCTGACAAGTTTTCTGCACTGCTGCTCCCCGCGCGCCGTTACTGTAACGCCGCGTTGCGACGTTTTCCATTTGGCAGCCCGCACGTGACGAGCGGCCACCTGCCGAAGGGACCTTGAGAAGGACCTTTTGCAGAATCACTTCTTCAGTAATCTACTCCATTGCTATCAATGGAGGTACCGCATTATTTCATTCTTTTTCATAAATTTGGACATCGAGATTTTCTGCAAACGTACACTTTTTTCGTTTACACTATCTACAAATTTACCCTCTTTTCCTTATGTCGATTTACTCATGTAATCGCAGCTGTTGGCATTACTTAAATAATAATAAGAAAGCGACTTCAGAGAGGGTCGAACGCTAGGTTTTTTTTGAGAATATAATCTTTGTTAACATTCGTTCATCTGTTTAAAATAATTATGACTTAATGGAACTTCAACTTCATTATACTTGTTTTGAGCACACCCATTTTCTAACTGGTGTAAAGTTTTAGTCTAATTCATTTTTCTGTACTTTCTTTCACCCACTCATTCTCGTTTCAGATGGAACTGTCTGACGAGGCTCTGCACCAAATTGGATCGTGTTTGCGCAGCACAAATTGTCGTGTTCGCCTTCTGTCGCTCGAGCTGACCTCGCTGTCCTCGGTCAGCCCTTCCGCGCTGCTGCAATTTGTCCGCGACGTCGCCCCGACGGACCTAGTTTTTCGAATGCTTCGCGGGTGCACCGAGCAGCACTTCGGGCCAGAGATGTGCCGGTTCATCGTTTCGCGACGGTTCTTCAGTGTTTCCGAACTGATCGATGCTCAGGGCAACGATATCCTGCTTTCCCTGGACGATTCTCTCTTAAGTGAACTTTCCGCTTCCACGTTCCAAATTGCCGTGCCCAGTTCGATTACGGTAGACGGCTTACGGTCATTCTTAAAGGTATGCAAGCAGTTTGTTTGCGTGAAACGGTTCTAGAGAATAAAGGTGTTCTTGCAGGCGTTTGCCAGTGGAAAAAGAAGTCTTGAAAATGCTAGCATCAAGACGAGTTTTCCACTTCGAGAACGCTTTCCCCCTACTGCGAATGCAAAGATTTTTATCGAAGACGAGAAGACCATCAATATCTATTCGCAGGCAGCGCTTCAAGCTGTTTGCTAGGCGACTTTTTTCTGTGTTTGTACAATTTTTGCTCAAAATTTACCCTCGAAATAATAATATTGAATATACTTGATGTGCATAGATCCACGAATGAAGAAGAATAAATCTGATCTCTAATTATTTGTTAGCATACACGCAGATGCAGTGTGCTTTGTCACTCGGCGATATCTGCCAATGCCATCGGCATTTTCATCCCACCATTAATCCGCACATCGACATGATCCACGTATAATGGCATCGTCAGTCTTGACAAATCCCCAATCGGAAATATTATTTGACTATGCTCTGTGAAGCGTGGAAAAGACATGCAGCAATCGGGAAGTGTTATAGGTTTGCCTTGAAATAGCGCAACTCCTCTCATATGAAAAGCTCAACTTTGAAACAATCTTAACCACTGGTTTTGTTCCTCCTGGCTGAGTCACAACGTAAAGCTTGCTCAAATACGTTTATAAACTCAAGTGCCTTGAAAAAACCAAGAATTCCAGAATTCTTCTGAATTTCACATGTATTTTATGCATTATCTTCTTGTGACAAAACTTCCTCACTCGTGGTTTTCGAAAAGGCTACTTCAGCTGCATGTTACAATTCTTCACCACAATAATTTGGCTCTTTTTTCTTAGAAGGATTCAGCTCTTTTTTCCCGGAGGAGTTTCTACTCTTGACTTTCCTTACTTGAGTGGCATCAAACATAAGCAACAAGTGTCACGAGATACAACCTCTTGAGGAAGTAGGTGATGGACACGAGTACAATATCCTACAGCTCAATATCTAATTAGCTGAGACATCCGGAACGATTAGACGGTCCTCAGAAAACAGGTGCAATAGTTTCACACGTAAGGGATTTATCGTACATTTGGATTTTTGGATTTTTTTTAGATGTAAAGCAATAATTGTTAGTCATCACGTTCAACATTTCTTATACTTCCGCAATGCTAATAACTTTTGAGTGAAGATTCTATCGTTAAGCCTTGACATGGAGTTAGAGCAGAATCACAACCTTCTTTGCGTCTTTTCTTTTACAAGGATTCAATACTGTGATACCCAGCAACTGCTCTTTTTCAGAGTTTGCACGATTTTGAGCGCTAATTAATATGACTTAAACAATCCGAAGGTCTTTTGTACAAATGCTAGAGGAAATTGAAAAGTCAGTACTTCCGCAAATTATGAGTCAAATGATTTTCCGTGCGTTTTCCTTGCATCGCACAAGGAGCTGAAGTTTTTTTTGTCGATATAGCAGTGCAGAAAATAAAAATGTTTCTAAACGATTGCGCATTAGTCTAACTAAACAAATGTGTAATCACCCAGCTGCGAACTCCTTTTGCAAGTTAGACCGGTTGCCTGTCATGTGACCGACCCCACCTGAAAGGACATAAAAGCGGAATAAACTCAGGAACCACATGGCGGCAGATAGTATCTAGCGCCTTGGCGCTGATCGACGTCTGATCTAATCTACGAGGCGGGAAAACCAACACGACAAAACGCTTGTCGAATTACTTAGGTTGCGCCGTCTTTTGACCTTTACAAATGTCTTGATTTGGTTGTTATAGCCTGGCTGACATTTTTAAATGCACAAGAAATTTTGCGCTTGAAGAAGGGTGAAATCATGCAATGCACTGAAAAAAAGAAACTGGGAATGAATCACGCTACAAGAAGTTTTTTTGAAAAAGCACAAGTCTAGCGAGGGTGGAGGAAAGAACACCTCAATTAGGCACCGCCTCTGCGGACTACTGGTCCCAACACGATGCACAACAGTAGGACGAAAGGACCAGCAGCCTGCGGAGGCGGTGCCTAATTGAGGTGCTCGTTCACCTACCCGTCTAGCGGTGACTTCTCCAATCGGAAAATTTGTTACAAGATAGGACTTCTGCATGAGCCCATTTCGGCACATTACTTGCTGAGTTTATACCCATCATGGCAAGTATAAACTAGTGTAAAACTAGTTACTAACTAGTGTACGGCTTGATAATTACAGCTGCGGTGCCGACAATGCTTGTGCGAGGAAAATGCTATGCTTTAGAGGGCAACGCTGCATGTAAATTCCATAGAAGCGCAGTTATTTAATTGTTTAACTTCCTGTTTGCAATTTTACGAGCAATTGCTGTCAGTTACGCAAGAATAATTTCCGTCAAATCTGATAAATTCTGCCTTTATGCACTGAGCGCTAATAGCGATAGTACACAGGACGCAAAAAATGTGCACACTATCTGATCGAAAATGACTCCATTTTGAGATAGGCGATTCCAGAAAAGTTCAAAAAAAATTCGCGTTGTGTAGGAGGCTTTCACCCATTCTTGTATTACTACGGCAATTTTCAACGAGTTTTCCAAACCTTCAAATGGTAAGACCGCGTTTCTGAAAAATATTGTAAAAACAATTGTTACTGTAAACCTGGAGTAATTAATAGAAGAAGCATTACGATAAAGTATCATTTTCTCAATCGGAATTGACTTTGGTAACCTAGCGATTTCTAGCCTGCTTGGTTTCCCTTTTGACGCCAAATGTGCCTCTCAAATGCTTGAATCTTCGATTTCTACCGCGGTCCTACAGTAACGAAGAGAGACCAATGATTCGCTCCAAGCTGTAAGTCCAAACAAAGATAGGGTGGTTCTTTTGCAGCGGTCTATGAGATGAGATGTATGCTTTTTTGAAGTGCAAGAACGGTGATCCCAAATTTGCCTTTTTTATATGCTGTTATATGCTGCGGATTTGTCCTCAAGGAGTTACGAGAATTTTTTGAAGTATAAGAACCGGCAGCCGAAATCAATTCAGTCTTAACATTTTCCTTGGTGTTGAATGGAGCAGTGCTAATTGTCACTGTTATTCTGTGTAATATGATACATTCTTAATTAGAATATACCCGCTCGCCGTTACTCCATTCAAAGCTAGGACTGGGTTAAGAATTCATTTTGCACTAATTATGCATTCAAATTTTTGTTCATAAAAACCTTCATAACTCTCGCCCAGAAGCCGGCCGCAGATAAGGAAAGCAGATCTGCAATAAGTGTTCCATGCTCTTTAAAGTCACCGTCCACCCAAATTCTTGACTGCCATGTTTTGGTTGTTTTTTCAGGGCCTTCTCATGTTCCTGAGTCTGAATATGAAATCGAGAATCGGCGAAAATCCCGACAATACCCGTTCTGGAGAACCCGCAAGCCGGTTGCCCGGAATGCCAACTTGGAGTCTTCGTGGCTCTCAGCTATTCCGATTTTTTCGCTTCCGAAGCGATAATTTGCGCCATGACTTGGGCATTGACTTTATACGGGGTCCTACTGATGTAATCTGCCAAGCTCAAGACCTCTAATTTAGTGGACGGGGCCTCTAAGGCGGCATACATTACAACTTGGAAAGCCACCTCGACTAACCATCTTTACCTTGTAGGTTGAAGCGAGCTCTACATAATGGTACTTGAAGATCGGGAAAAGACGTTGAAGCAAAAAATTTATTGATCAGAAAATATGCACTTTTTGGGACACCTCGTACGCTACAAAAGAGAGCTAAAGTTCCTTCCAGAGTATTATTGGACTTTGTTATGGAATGCGCGCGACCAAAATTGGCCTCCATCCTCGGCGAGGGAACACTCATCACAGCGAGGGCGGCCTTGTTCACCTCGTCGCGTCGACGTCGATTTGTATCGCTGAATGGCGTCGTCGCCGTATCGCAATGCGTTTCGACTTTTTTCCACTATAGGGGTTCTTCACTTCTTCGCCAGTGCTGAGTGAGTTTACGATTTCGATATTCGATAAATTCAAACATGAGTTTTTTCGTTACTTACCGATGCAACAAAAGGGATTTTTTTAGCCCATTTTGATGCAACAGTTCAAGCTTTCTCATTCAACGCGCTCAAACGTGTGTCGCTCTACTTCCCCTCACTCCCGCCACCCCCCCCCCCGCTGATTTGTAATCTTATTGTTAGTCGAGACCGATTGACAATCGCCTACGAAATACAAAGCAAAATCTCTTGGTTTTCATTTGCATGATTTATTCATGAAATTTGGTTCCCCTCGCTGCATATAGTACTGATACAGTTGTCCTCAATTCAGCAGTCTATCTGTGCGATCGCATCACTTTTGAGATTTGCAGTGGAGCATGCCGGCGTGAAAAAGTCACTATCATGTTCACATAAGCACAACACTGATGAAAAAGTGATTGAAAAAATTGAAAAAATTATAAGAAATATTCACAAAAATGGTATCGTACACCAATTTAGAAGATTTATTCAGTGACTGCCGATTTCATATTCGATCCTATACTATTCAACGATCACAGTAAACAGCGTGCATTTCCCATCATTCCATGGATTTTTTTGAAATTGTGCGACCTATTCTACTCAAAACTGGCGGCACTTTTGTAGCACGTTTTTAGTGAATTATTTGTAGGCAGGGAGAGATTCAGGGGAAGGGGAGGGGCGGACATAAAATTGCAGTACATTTTTTACATGGGTCGTGACAAAAAATTATAATCATATGTTTGAGAAACGATACCATCATGCACAAAACCGAATAAAAATTAGCGTAGTCTTGCTGTTTGCGGTTTACCACTAGCAGAATCTTAACTCTTCTAAAAGCAAACATTCACTCTGGTGTGCCTCAAACCCGAATTTGAGTCCCTGCGTGTTTCTTTATCGGTTTCTGTTTCCTAACATACTCACACATAACGAGTAGATATTGAGAATGAAGTAAAGACATATTCAAGAGAAATAGAACTCACGAATGTACAAAGTGCTTGGAGCGAAAGCCGAAACTTCCTTATGCAATCTGCTCAAGCGGTGTTCCTTCTCCAAACAGCAGCATTCTGGCACATAAAAAGAACCAAAAGCGTTGTCGGAACTTTGTAAAGAATAATCCTATTCAAATGAGGAAAGAAACTCAAAAATTTTTTTAAAAGATTTACAATGTTCGCCCTATTGCTTGCGACAGACGTTCAAATTCTTTCTTGGGAACATATGTGAGGAATAGAACAGACAACACTTTGAATAATGTAGTTAAATTGCATGCAAATCATAATCATGCACATTATAGTTACTTGCAAAACCTAACTACTAAGAAATTCAAATTGAACAAAAAAAAAGAAAACGAGCTTCCGTTTCGTTTTTTCCTTTAGACGGAGCACAAACACAAATAAAAATTCAACCAATGAGCCATCCCCGGAACTCTTCAGTAAGGAGGGAGGGCGTAACCTTGCATCTCCCGTCGCGAGTGCTCGATCCCGCAAGATCGGGCTTTCCTGCCCGTCCGGGTTGGGCGCCCGACTCATGATGTATGAATCCTGCATGCTCAAATCCTGCATGCTTCTCGATATTGGCTGACCAGGTATTAACTGCTTCAAATTTGATTTTCCTTGCAACCATAGAATGACAGTTTAGATAGAGCGGTAGTCCATCATAGAAAAATTCGATGTACACCAATGCGAGATCTGCATTTTTCATAGCTGTTGGCAAGGAACCAGATTACTACCCGCAGCTCGGCAATACACTACCAATTTGAGAAGTTACTGAACCAGATGCTATATGGAGATGAAGTAGCTTGAAAACTGAAACAATACTGATTCACTTATTGGGGCTGCCTCGAACCACAAGGATCCTATGCGTTAATAATTTTTATTGTGTGCTCAACTCTACATATAATGTCAAGCAGTCAAAACCCATAATTTCTAACAATTTATGTCTCACTCCTGAACAATTCCTGAGTTGGAATTGCTTATACAAAATATGTAAAACTCATAACAACCTGACAACCGAGATGGGACATGACAATTCCTAGCGCCAGCGCCTATTCTGGCCGTTTTCCTCCTCTAATTGTAACAAGTTCTTCTGCACTAGTAGGATGAATAGCTACACAGTCATCGAATTGGGCCTTTGTTGCGCCCATATTCACTGCGACTACAAATCCCTGCCCCTGCATTATTTCGTCGGCTCCAGCCCCGAGAACGTGCACGCCGACAATCTAAACGAGCAAACTGATGGTCAAGGATCTTTTCACTCATTGGACTAAATGATGTTTCATTCTCAGATTTTTAACTAGTTTAGAACTCAACGCATCTTGAGTTTTCTCTAATGTGTATCTTGATACTAAATGTTTTTCGTAAAGCGACAAAGGACATCTTCGAAAAAAATCTGCCGACTGGTTTGTATCGATGCATCTAAAGGTTATATACAAATATTCTACACTTGTTCTCACCATACGTCATACATTTCGAGAAAAGGTCCAAAGAAGATCACACAATCAAAATCGCCAATAAAAATCGCTGATAATAGAATCGTTACAATCGTTATCAATCAAAGAATCTTCAAGGAGTAAGCAAGTCGTTAGGTACGAGAATTATTTCCCTGTTAAGAATTGTTTGATTACACGGAAGACAGGTAAAAAGAGTGTGTCAAAAGCCAGTTTGCTGTCTTCTATCAACCCTCAAAACCAGCAGCTACTGAGCTTAACCTCCTTCCCGCACCTCCATCCATTCGAAGCTATCTTCGGGCAGTTCCAAGGTGGTAGTGAGTGCTCCTTCAAGTAGTACGTTGAGGAAAGGCGCATGCGATGATGAGTAATAGATTAGTGAAGTAAGGAACACTGGCTCACTGTGCTTCCAAAAATTCACCAGTGCACAGCAGCGGTTACCGAGTGGTTGGGACAAATATACAGACTGAATAGATCCATATACTGAAAAGCCATCAATTCTGGACCTTCTCATTCAACACTCTGATTTTGATTCAGATAAATTTTGATTCAACTTTTTGATTTTGAGTCGGATGAATGTTAAAATGACCTTTCGATTTTGACTCAGGTGCCCTTTGATTTGACTTTTTAATTTTGATACAAAAAAATCTCTAATATGTATACATGATCAAAGCAACATTTTTTATAAAAATTCAAACAGCTTTACGAACAAATTTTTTTACTATTTTTTAGTTCACGGGCATATGTAGCAACCCAATAATATAGTGCCTCTGCGGTGCAGGCACAGTTGCGTCAAATTTGTTTGCTGAGCGCATACTTCAAAAAATTTTTGTTCTACGTCCATTCAATTTCATATCATGCTTGGGACTTCCCACTTCCCGAAAGCTGCATTCGTATAGCAATGACAACATCTTGTGTTATAAGTAGCCTTTCATTATCGTTACTCAGATAGGATCAGCAGCCAGCTAATGCTTCCTTTGAACTCACCGCTTTCATTCATTTCTGTTCAGAATACTGCATTTGGTAAGAAAAAAGATCCAAGCAGTAGTGTCCCTTCAAATTACGTTCTTGTTCTAACGCAGCGTTAGGACTTTCAATATATAATTTTTTGCGTCAGAGCAGCGGGTCAAAAGAATTTTGTTTTTTAAGTTTTAAAGGAGAGCTAAGTAGAACGGTGCATTACTTACCTTAGACCTACAAATTCAACCAATTTTTGAGGAAATACCCTGAAATCACGCGTACAAGGCGCACTTTTTCGATTTTTCAAGAAACCGCACAGACGCTTACTCTGTTTCGGGAAGCCATCCTTATGCCGCACTATTCTCTCAGGCAATATGCAACACGGCACGACATAGGATCCTTCGGTCGCGAGGTCCTTCGGCGCGAGGCTGCGGATACGCGGATTACGATTATATGTAGTTAATAATAGCATATAACACTATTTTTCTGTTCCCATTAACTTCCCACTATTTCTAAGCATGGTAGAATACTTGGAAATGTATAAGCACCATGACACTCAGATTTCTGAAGCTGGAAGCATTTTAAACTGCATTTCCATCTGTGCAGAAAATGCTAGTGGATGCGACCCTTAGAAACATTATCTGCTAATGTCAAATTCCCATTTACTAACTTTTTCTAATCACGGCATTCTCACATTGTGCAAAAGCCTCTACCTACATTGTTATGTCTCATGCTCTTGCTAGTGAAAATGGGTATTTCTCAGACTAGAATCAAACTTTGGTCGGAATTCAAACCACCGCTCTTGAGCGTTTTTCCTGATCAAGTTATATCATGGCGACGTATTAACAGAAAAAGATGCCTATTACAAAGCGATGAACTACATAACTACTACAAGCATGTACATGAATGGCGTGATGCCAAGGGTGCGCAGAAACATAGGAACAACAGTCAAGTTAACCGTACCCGCAGAGTACAACTTGCGAAAGAGGGGGGGGGAGGGGATACCGGGGCCCGGCACGGGTCGGTTTTAGGGTTTCTGAAAACGAAGTCTTCCCTGACCTTCGGAAGTTTTAAGAAGTCCCTTTGACCTACCTACCTAGGAGAAGATGAAAACAAGAAAAATTTACTGATCTGAAAAAAAGTGAGATAAGAGGAAAATCAAGTTGAAGCTGAATAGTACGCATGCACAAGAGTTTGGCGATATTGATTCCTTCTTGTCGTTCATCGCGAGCGGCTGCGTCATCATTCTTTCTGTCATATCTGATTCTTCTCGCTTACTTTCTCATTTTCATCCGGATTTTTTGGTTTTTGCTAGTTGCTAGTGCCCCTCGTGAGTTTTCTAAGGTACGTCAATCTTCTTTTTGATTCTGTTTCACTGTCAATCCCACTTTTCTTTTAGTCACATTCAAAGCCTCCAATCAATAAGATCATGCCTGCTAGGTCGATCAAATCCAACTCCCAACCCTCGTCTACTCGCATCACCAAGAAAAAAAATCCTTCTTCGACTCAAAGTGTTCAAGCAGAGAGCTTAGCTAACACAAGGGATGGGTTGAAGGATTTTAGTGCCTTGAGTGCCAGCGAGCTGATTGATTCGATATTGGAAAAAAATTGTGATCCATATATCGAACGATTGGTTTTGGCTCTCAAAACTAAAATCCCTTTAGATGTTGAAGCCGAAAAACGGAGCCGTTCTGTAGTACTAGCTGGTTTGCAGGAATCCGAAGGTGGAAAGTCTCTTTTAGAGCGGAAGGCGGAACTGGAGTCGAGTGTCGCCCAGGTGCTGGAAGTGCTGAAAGTCGACTGTTGGCCCACGGAAATATACCGCATGGGAAAATTCGAGGAAAACAGGCCAAGACTGGTAAAAGTAGTATTTCCATCACACTCTTTCTGGTCCCAAGCACTTGCCAACTCCTACCTCTTGCGCAGCTCTTCTTTGCAAAATGTTTTCGTACGCCGCAGCATGACCGTTTCTGAAAGCGCTCAAGAATTCGAACTCAGACAGATCGCAAGGGAGCGGAACAGGGGTAAGGCTGGGAAGGAATGGGTCGTCTACAGAGGCGAGCTTCGCCATGTCTCCGACCTTCCCAGACGTACCCAGGGAAACGCTTAAAGCAGCCAGAAACCCGCGAAGCTCTAAAATGTTTACTTTTTAACTCTCGCAGTATCGTAAACAAAATCCATCTTTTGCATGCCTTTGTTACTTTTCAATTACCGGACATTTTATGCATCACAGAAACTTGGCTGAGCGCTAAAATTTCCGATTCCGAAATCCTTTGCGACCTTCCTTATACATTACACCGTTCGGATAGAGCCCATCGTAGAGGCGGTGGTGTTTGCTGCTTGGTGAAGGAAGAGCTAGCAGTTGAGCATGTACCAGTAGCTGACGGGTGCAACAGCGACATTCTCTGCTTGAACGTATGGTCGGCCTCCTCTTTTTCATTCATGAGATTTATTATTGTTTATCGTCCACCGTCCTGCTCGTCCAGTGATGATATTTCCTTGACTATTTCTATCCAAGATTTATGCTCTTCTCCATATGCTACAATAATTCTAGGAGATTTCAACATTGACATCCTTTCTCCTACTTTCCACGCTGAATCACGCTCTCTCTTTTTTTCGCGATTGTGACCTCCGTCAGTATGTGACATTTCCCACTAGGGGTAAGTCAGCAATCGATTTGATCTTTTCATCAGAAAACACGATTCAAAACCTAAAGGCACTGCCACCTTTCGGAACATCCGACCACAACATACTGAGTTTCAATGCCTTTTTCGAAATGTGTAAAAACATTTTCGTAGAGCCGATTTCTCCAAAATTAACAACGCCTTACAAAACATCAACTGGTTCGATGTCTTTGATAAATATGAATCTGTTGATGATATGTATCGCCGCTTCTGCAAATTACTATATCGAATACTCTCCGAGCATGTGCCTTTCCGTTTTGAACCACACCATGTCCGAAAATATCCCGATCACATCCGAAATCTACTTGAGCAAAAAGCCAGACTTTTCTCCATGTCTTCTGATCCTTTCAAAAATCATCTCTATAGGAATGTCTGTAAAAATATTAGCCATCATATCAAGAAATTCTTAGTCAACCGCGAAAAACACCAAGCACAATTTCGAACACTTGTATAAATATTTCGGTTACAAGATCAAGGGGCAGCAGAAAATTACTCTTTTAAAAGACGAACAAGGAAATAAATTCGTGAGTGACAAAGAAAAAGCAGAAGCGCTTGGAAATTTCTTTGCCAGCTTTTTCGGACTGAATACTGATGCCGATGAGAATGTCTCAAATCTTGACACCGAAATTCAGCTTAGTGCAAACGAGCTGTTTTTTGAACCCGACAAAGTTTATAACATTATGAAAAAACTCAAACCAACAAGCTCTGTCGCTTACGACGGTCTTCCACAAATCTTATATCGAAAGTGCGCACCTACACTTGCTTTCCCCTTGTCTCTTATTTTCAATGCCTCTTTAATGCTAGGAAAGGTTCCTCAAATATGGAAGGAAGCCATAGTGACGGCTATACCAAAACGTGAGCATACCAACTGTCTTTCAAATTACCGTCCTATCAGTATTACTGCACCTTGTGGTAAGATTCTTGAGAAATTCATGAAGGAAAAGCTTTCTGAATGGTTAGATAGACGTAAAATTATTCCTGCTGTTCAGTATGGGTTCCTTCCAGGAGGGTCAACTAACAGTTTACTTTCTGATTCAATTTTTGTTGGACAACTGCTTTAAACCAAGGAAAATCGATTGATATAGTATTTTTTGACCTTTCGAAAGCCTTTGACAGAGTGAATCATTCTAAATTACTTTCCAAACTAGCTGATTACGGAATGGATCAAATACTGTTGAAGTGGCTCTCATCTTACCTTCAAAACAGAGGTATGACAGTACGGGTTGGAAGTAGCTTTTCTAAACGTTTCCACTGCAGTAGCGGTGTGCCGCAGGGAGGCATACTCTCTCCCCTCCTAATCCTTACCTACACAGCAGAATTGCCAAAATTTTTGAAGACACATCCAGATGTAAAAGTGCAGGTTTTTGCAGATGACATCAAAATATATATTTGCTATGAAGAGGACAAACAAAACATAGCCTATGAAGCAATTTTTACTTCTATACAAAGAATGACTGTCTGGGCTAGAGAGTGGGATCTACCTGTAAATGCACACAAATCCAAGGTTATGCATCTTGGCAACTTCCATCCGCGCACTTACCTCTGTGATGGTGTGGAGCTGGAGCTCTGCAGTGTTACCAAGGACTTAGGAGTTTTCATTGATCACCAGCTCAAGTTTACCACTCATTATGATTCAATTACAAGAAAAGCATTATCAGTTCTTTTTGTGATTTTGAGAAGCATTCATAGCAATGACCCATTTCTCCTGGTCCGCGTTTACAAGACCTACGTTTTACCAATTTTGGAATACGCTTCTCCAGTTTGGAGTCCACATTTCAAGAGAGACATTGAAAAATTGGAAAGGGTGCAAAAAACATTTACTAGAATCGTCTATTACAGATGCTACCCGAGGCCTGATTACCCTCTATCATTACCTTCTTACAAATCAAGGCTCATGGTCTTAGGGCTGCGCAGCCTAAAATACAGACGGGTCTTCAACGACCTAGTCTTTTGTTTTCGCATCCTTAGACTAGAAACGAGGCTAAGACCCAGTGATTATTGGGCATTCAGACCTTGCAGAACTCGGACAGGAGCCTTTGGGTTATGGTATCGGAAATTAGACAAAAAGAAATTTTCCCTTGCCTTCAATTCCTTTGTATGTCGAACTGCTAGATGGATCGAACGACTACCAAAAGAAATTACTGCTTGCAATACCTCAACAAAATTTCGCAAAAATTTAGCCTCGATTGATGTTTTACGAATTTTGGGAATTTCTGACGTTCAGTAGATGCCATAATCCCTAAAATTTGTTATTATGATTTCTCTTTGTCGTAGCTTCAAAATGTTCAGGCTCTTATCGAGAGATTTGATTTCTCGCAGAGACTCTCTTCAGTTTCGAAAGAAACTTGCTTCAATAGATGTTTCGCAGACTTTAAAGATTGCAGATGTTTGATTTTAGGAAAAATGTAGTCACTTTTTTTCGCCTTTTGTCAAGAACGTTTCGGTTTTCTTTTGCAAGATAAAAAAAATTTTTTTCATGGATAAATGTCGCAATGGCAATGATTTCAAACTTGTATCAATCTTGATAGGATTTAGACAGGTTGGCAGCCTCTTCGTCTGGAACGCCGTTTGAGGAAGTCGTAGTTGGCGAATCCCTCCCCCTTCTCGCTCGCCCAGGGTCCTAGACGGATTCGTCCGCCCGGGTTAAGTGGTCAGCCAGCCCTGGTACTTTCTACCTCCCTCGCGTCCGGGTAAGGGAACAGGAAATCGGAGAGGACTACTCGTCATCAGAAGGAGAACGACCTGCACTCCGGCAGAAGGCTCATATCACCTGTCTCTCTTTTGTCTAGCCAGCTGTATATACGTGTTAAGTTTGTCGTTGTCTTTTTCTAGTTTTTCTAGTTTTCTAGTTTTGGCACACCTTTGGTGTATTTCAAATAAAAAAAATATTTAACAAAGCGATTTATGAAAAAATTAAAAAATATATGCTTTAAAGGATCTCAGATCATCTGGTGACCTCTCGAGACGCTAGTTTTGGAAGAGGTAATATTTCACATAAGTTTCCAAATCTTTTTGATAATTCTTTTGCAAGTAATATTCTATGTATACAGTTCAATTTTTGGTGTCATATGATTCTGTGTGCGCTGTCAACAAGCAATTTGCTTATTTTAGCCTTGCTTTCAAATCGCGCGCACTGTTCGCCATACACGAAAGAGCATGCGATCGTGTGATAACTTGTCCGAAAAGCTTTTCGACTAAATGGCTTATTCTGTTCAGCCTCGACTCGTTAAAAAGATATCTCCTTTGCTTTCGCTCCAAAACGAAGTTCCAGTCTGCTTCCAGACGATCTGTGCCGGGCCCTGGGGGATACTGCTAGCAACCCAACGAGAATGTCGGAGCTCCGAAAATAGCCCTTTTGCACTTGAGCCCAACTCATTTCAAAACACTCCTCGACGAGATGCCATATTATAAGCAGCGGCTCAGCTGATCCTTGACTTGAAGTTTATTTTGCTTACCTGGGGTAATTCGAGGCGCTGATTCCGAAAACCCACCTTGAAGAGTGGAAAGTAGCAGAAACCACCATTTTCCAAGGCCCCCATTTGAATTTGGACGAGTGAAGCACGTCCCTATGGTTAGAGAGGCAGAATTTTTGGGGGACCCTCGCATTTATAACATTGCGGCATGCCTTCTCTGACGGGTCAGGGAGTATCGCAAGCTTGTTTGCGAGTATTAGAATGGCTTGCGCGTAACGGGCTTTGGAGCAGTTTTCCAAGCAGGCAGCATGCTGTGCGCTCGGACCTGCTCTGTTCTCATTTGGTTGCAAGCAACCTTCCATGTTAAAATTTCGGGATGTTCGGTTTTGGCGAGCTGCTGCCTTTAACCCCTTCGAGACACGCTGGCCTTGTTGATAGCCTACGACGCTCGGTCTGCCTCGAAGTGTATGTGTGCCAAGTTTAATCCGGATCGGTTTAGAGATAAAATTGTATTCGGAACATGTCTACATAAATACAGACAGGCAAACAGACAGACAGACAACGAGACATTCAGCTTTATATATAAAATGATATCTACAGCCATCCAGAATCTGTATCAAAAGTGCCATTGCAACCCTTGGACATTTTAGGGTTACAAAACGCGCACTTGATATACATGACAGAAGACAAGAGGGTAGATATGTACGTCAAGCATGTAGCTTCTGTCCACCTTTTGAAAAGGTTCTGCAAAAAGTTAGTGATTTTTATTGTTAGGATTAGCATGCACAACAACGGCCGCAGCCAGCTGAACGTGAGTATACCGCTTAGCAACATGGCTTACAGTTTGCTCCGACTAACTATAGGCAACGTATGCTAGGCGTTTGCTTACGCGGGACAGGAACCAGTCGAAAATTAAGATAGCGCACGTCCGCATCGCGATAGTTTTGCGTCAACTGACAGGACTATGTTTTCTATATACTTCGACTTCTCCGATAGCACTACTATGTGGCGAAGCCTCTATCAAACTTTCAACGCAAAGAGCGTTACAAAGCTAAAGGTGATTGTGATGTGGGATTCCAACTAACAAGGGAAGGATACTTGGTGACCGTGACTTTTTGCAGTGAGATGTACACCAGTAGGTGCGTCTTGGAACGCTCATTCTATTATAAAACTATGTTCAATATCTGCCGTGCGACTCCATGAACGAAGTTATGGATTTTTTTCCACATTGATTTTGCGAGATTTTGGCAGTCGAGATCGTCAGTATCCAGGCTTTTTAGACTCTGATGTATCGGTAACAGTTTTCCTGAGCTTAACGTAAAGTTTTACTCTATCACTACGCTCTTTTGTAGTGCTAAGCGAACATTCTAACGATATTGGTGAATCCTACATCAAAACAGAGCAAATTTTGGTGACAAGAAATGTTCATAACTTCTTTCGGAAGAGCGCACAGCAGATAATAGAAAAAGATTTGGAATCAGCACTTCAAGATGCATTCAACGGTACGTTTCATTTCAAAAGGCTACGGTCACCAAGTAACCTTTCCTTGTAAGACGGATTGTATCTTACTTGAAAATGGCACAGTGCGCCGCAGGCAATCCTGCACTGACCTAAAGCACTAAGTCGGGCAAAACCCAACATTTCTGCTCTATAGCTCTAAATTGCAAGTGAAGTCAGCGTTTCGTCATTAGTATTTAGATTGAACATATGGTGAAAAAAGTTGGCAATGTTCAAGCCTTATATCGTAATGAATAGAGTTTCACACTAAGGCACATGCCATACTTAGTTCATACGCATAGAAACAAAACGCGCCGTTATTCCTTCCGTCGAAGATGAGGCAGTTCCGTATGTCGTGTGCATGAGCACATCCATACTCTAATGAATCAGCTAAGATGTCAGCAAATGTTGAACTTGAGCTATTTTCAGATTGTCTTACCGCACAGATTTCCCTGTGTTGAGTACGTCGATAGTGACGTCCTGCGTCTTCTGCAAATTTCCTTCCTTTCGCTTCCCAACTTCGCACGTTCGGGCTAGATTTGATCAATAGATAGAAGTTGAACAACGGAAATTCAAACTCACAGTAGCACCTTGAGTCCCCATGTGCCTCTAATATATCCATATGGTCTTCTGTAAATGTAGTCGAGTCTTTCATCGAGCGAATGATCGCGATAATGATAAGTCTAGAAAAATTAGTATAGAATGAGAATGCTTGAGAATATGGTATTCATCGTGTCGAGCAGTGAAACCACATGGGTCCTGGATCGCTTCGAAAGTCGTCAAAGTTTGTTGAAGTAAAGATCTTTTAATTGTCAACCCCTTTGTTCCGTCGTATTCCAACTCGAATTCCGAACTCAAAAATTCTGTGGAAGTGACACCAACCAGTTTCGGATATGTCTTGCTAGATGCGCAATATTTTTTGATTCCCTCGATAAGTTGTTTTCCTTCATTTTGACCCAGATTACATCTTTCATTATCGTAGAAGCCTCCTTTCTGACAGTAGCGGGTTGCAAATGCTGGCAAAATCTGGAAATGGCTTCAATTATCGAGTAAATTTTAGAGAATGCAACGTACCATGAGGAATCCGTAAAAACCGTAAAGCAACATTTGCTGGTGCTAACAGCTTATCGAGCACTTTTATACTGACAAGCCTTAGCAAATAGGTTAATGATACTACAAAGGAAGTGCCAAGCTCGATTGCGTGAGGCGGATAGTGGACCGCCAACAGCGGAATGCGTAATGTGGGGGAGTAAATGATCCAATGCATAGGATTACTTTTGCTCGAATGTGTTTTCATCGTGTAAGTATGAGCACTGATACTGCATTGACACTTCATGTCACATGTGATAGTGGTCATTCAACTTTTTAATGTTTTGTCCACATTTTTGGGCAAGAATATTCCCTCTTTTTGCACTAGCCCTAAATAATGTGATTCAGTTGATTATGTGTATCAACTCATGTTCAAAAATTGGTTTCCATTTTTTGAACTGTACAAACAGCTGCGTTTTTAGCATTTAGCCAAAGCATTTTTATGGCGGAAACACGGAGATGTGAAAACTGAAAAAGTACAACTTCGACATGAAGCTGTTAAAAGAAGCTCGAAAGAAGAAAATGGGCCTAGAGACAGCAATGCTATTGAGCGGTTGGCAAACAAATTAGACCCGTACTGTGCAGCAGTATTTCTGGTGCATACGATGACATTTTGTGCTGATAGAGAGGGGGCTAGCCTCGCAACACTCGTCCACGCTAATCAAATCAGAGTTCAAAGTGGTTCAGGGTGGGGGGGGGGGGGATCAAGTGATTTGCACCTCATATTCGAAAAAAGTGCCATGAGACAAATCTGGATGGATTCTTTTCGATAAATTTGATCCCTGTTTCATTCTCATTTGCGAGCAATTGTATGACTTATAGTGTGGACCCCGGCCAGGTTCCCATAGGTACTTCCGCGGCGCGCACGCAGCGCGCGCCCTTCTTAATGCTTCTCGCCTCACTCATGCGCAGTGGAGCATATTTATGCTCACGAAGGAGAAAAATGTAAAGTGGAAACCTCGAAATTCACTTCGAAAGAAACGTATGCAAGAATGAAACGCAGGCAACTACCATGAGTACCTTAAATTCAATCAATGGATGCATATTCCGAACTTGCACTGATGGGTAGGTTGCAATAAGTATACGTAGAGAAGTCAAAGAACAACAGCATTCTTAAAACATCTCTCTTGGTAAACGTAGAAACTAGAGTGGTTAAAAATTTCGAAATAAGTGGACATTTCAGTAAACAAATGCCTATTGGCTTCTCGGAAGGCTCAATTTTGACTTGAGACACTGTCTACACCTTACACATCAAACCGAAAGGGACTCCTATTTTATACAAGAAGCTTTTAAATTAATATATCTTAATATCCAATCAAATCTCAATTATTCAGAGAAAAAAGGGAAAACACAAGACTGAAGCTCTTAGAACTATTAGAGCACGTGGAATCTCGTCACCGTTCATCGCGAATTGTTCATACCTGAATAGAGAGAATTAGTACAGCAAAAACAAAAAAAACGAGAGAAAGGAGGATTTCCATCCGAAGGGACAGGAGACGCACTGAAGGCGTGCCTTGCGGGTGCGTCGCGCAGGTACCTATGGGAAGCTGGCCGGGGTTCACACTATAACTACGGTCGTCGCTTGAACAAGTTTTAGGTTGTAAAGAAAGTTCCCGGGCACTTGCAAAAATTTTTTTCAAGTTGCTGTAACTTCGAGCAGGTTGATCCTTTTTTGCAGCTGCGGGTCAGAAACTAACAGGTTCCTCAATCAGATCACTCATGATTTGGACGAAATTCTTTAAACTGCACAGAAAAATGGGCGCAGGAAGAAAAATCGCGAATTTTTTATGGTTGGAAAGATTTCCTTATTTGATGTGCAGGTCAAACACGTCTTGGCATCGATAGAAATTAGGAGCTGGCGTAGAAAGTTTAGGCTTCCCTCTATCAAACAGTATAAAAAACTTGGTGTCAAAATCCGACCGAGCGCCAGAAAAAAGCGTCAGTAAGTAAACTTTCCAAAAGTGCCCGGGAACTTTCTTTACAACCTAAGGCCCCGGTCAGACTTCACGCGACTTAATCGTCGCGACTCAATCGCCAACATTTCCATTCATTTTCATTTCACATTCAGAAATGTCGGGCTGGAAAAGTATCACAACCGAATGCAAGTTGATCGGCATGGAATGATGTTGTAACAGACTCGACTGAGTCGCGACGATCAAATCGCGTGAAGTCTGCCCGCGGCCTAATACCGCTGCTAACACTTTTCACCATTTCATAATTGCAAAGTAAGTTTTCGTAATGTAATTGCGTTGGAGATGCGCAGGTAAGCGTGTAAGAAGGTCGAAAATAATCTTTCTCGCCTTTTAATCCATGTAAAGCTCAGTTCTCCAGTAGAAATACAAGTCATGATTACTTTGTGCTACAACTTTGAAGGTCTACGCAGGCCACTCATCTAACACTTTCAAAGTTTTTTGAAAAACACCAAAGTTACTCTTCAAATTCTGTGGGAAGAAGCAGTTTACACCTACAGTGACTCTGGAATGCTGGCAAAAACAGTAAAGGTTGTGTCTAGATCCAGCACAAAAGAAAACTCTCGGAGTGAATTTAATACAAAACAGTAGCCATTTCAACGATACACATGGAGCGTCAAGCCTTGACGCACGGTCGTCAGTGTGTTAATAATGTGATTTTGATAGATGAGTAGTGCAAATTTTTGTGTGCTTAGAGACTCTTTTTCGAGTGCGGCGCTACTGGTCACAAGCGAACATTGCTCTTCTACACATCACTACGTATAAAAGCATGAATTCGTGCACTTTATCTGAACGATAGCAGATGGTAGACTAGGAGATGCCCGACGAGATGCGGACCCGCTCCTTGTGCACGAAACATGTTTTCCTACCGAACCTTCTCGAATTTTTTCTTCGCGCATAGGTTTCGCCTAAGGACAAATTTCTCAAATCAGACTGTAAACATCCATCACGTGTAACACATCAACAGTCTTAAGACAATGTTTTCGCATAAATCACATGATTACATATGCGATTTTGAGCAACCATAAAATAATGAGGCAAATGTTCCCCCTGGTTGTATATACTATGGTCTCCATTACCATGAAAATTCTCCTTTGCAAGGTTGGTGCCGCATCGCCTTACGTGAGTTCTATCTACTGAAATCTTTTGCTTGCAGGTGGTTGTTAATGATTTCTGTATCATCTACCAATGAACTCTGTATTCCATACAGCCTGTGGAATCCCCATTGGCTAAATGGTGAGCTACTCACTCTTGAGTATCTAATCACTCAAGAGTGAGTGGTACCCGTGCGGCAAGAGTGTAGCCAATCGGCGGCATCTCCTTACCAACTCGTGTACATTGTACCCTTTACTCGGTTCAGCTCCGCCTTCCTTCGTATATAAGGAGCCTCCGAATGTATTAGGGGTTGCTCCCCGGTCCACATCGGGACACCTCGATTCTTCTCGAATAATTTACGCCCGTGCGAAAAAATATTTCACGGCTCGTCTACCCCCTAATCACTTGGTACCCACCATATTGGTGCATCGGTCAGTGATTCTCCTTGCATTTCCCTCGGATATTCCCTCGGATCGGACATTTCCCTCCTTCTAAGGACCCGGGAAATCAAGGCCTAAGACCCGCGTGGCAGGCTCTATTGCCAACTATTCGACTCTCGTAATTGCTGGTTCACCCCTTTCGCGACCAAGAGTCTTACTAGGCTGTCAGGTCCTATCCACAGCTTAGTAGAGGTTTCTAGCTGACTGACTGGTTCATCCACAGTTAGCGACAGACTCCTCGCACTCTCGGCTACTAATTAGCCAATATTCGACTCTGGTAATTGTTGGTTCATCCACCTTTACTAATACGAGTCTTGCTAAGCTATCAGGTCCTATCCATAGCTTAGCAGAGGTTTTCTCTAACTGACTGGTTCATCCACAGTTTGTAAAAGAACTCCTTGAAACTTTTTTGGCTTCCAGTAGCCAAAAAAGACTCTGTGATTGCTGGTCCATCCAGTTTCACAACGAGAGTCATCTTGCGAAGCTATCAGGTCATACGCAGGGTCAAGCGTGGGGTGTGGCACGCCACACCTGGGGGGTCGTACTGAGGAGTCATAAGGGGAGGGGGTCGTAGTTGGGTAATCTGATAATAGTGATAACGCGATATTCGTATCATATCCATAATTAGCATGTCAATTAACCCCTGTAGACAAAGTTTGAGCGAATTCTGAAGGTTCAAGATACTAGGTTACTTAAGTGAAATGGTCATTTTCCAACATGATTAACTTTGTTTCAAAGGTGAAGTAGCTATCCGTTTTTGCACTCAAGACAAAGCAGCACTCCTTCTTTGGCGACTTCAGAAATCTACCCCCCCCCCCTAACCCCACTCCATTAAACGTATGTTGAATACGTCATCGAAGTTTAAGTCACACAGTAACCCAGGATCAATAAATAAAATGGGAAATTTTTTTCTTAAAAAATATCGACGGGAGTTGGATGACAATATCGTATTTGATATGATGCAATGCATTCATAATCACAAATTACGTCGCCGCATATGCGGTGATTGGGTCATTCGCTCCTACATAACAGAAGATACTGACAGTTTCTAAGCAGATGCTGCGACCAACAACCGTTATTGATTTTGTGCGATTATGTTACACACGAAGATTCTCAAATTGTTGGGACAATAATGGATGGAACGGGGTTGCAAAGCACCGTTAAGAAGGAAAAAGGGCCGGGCATACTTCACGCGATTTCAGTCGCGACACGATCTGGCAATATTCCAACTGTTCATAATTCACTGTAAGCACATTTTGAACGTACAGAAGGTAGGACATTTTAACAATTCACGAAAGTTATACATACTATACATGTGCACTTTGTAATGTTGCGTATCAAGACTTTTGGCGAATAGCCAAACCGCGTCGCGACGGAAACCGTGAAATATGCCCGGCCCTAAAGGTTGTCTAAAGTGAACTGTAGCAGACAATAGTATTAGGTTGTCCGGAAAATAATGTCGCATCGTGTTTTAACATGCAGTATTGCAGCAGAGTGCGCACGAAAGTAAGTA